TCTCTCTCTCTCTCTCTCTCTCTCTCTCTCTCTCTCTCTCTCTCTCTCTCTGTGTGTGTGTGTGTGTGTGTGTGTGTGTGTGTGTGTGTGTATCTCTCTCTCTCTCTCTCTCTATCTCTCCGTTTCAGACGACTTGCACTTGGGACGATGTGGTTCGGGAAGTGGGGGACATGTGTGACTCGGAAGATGTTGATGCCGTATTCCAGTGCAAGTGGCACTCATGTGGGTTTTCTTTTGCATGTGTGTTATTTATATTGAATTGCAAGAACCTGCCTCCCACACACATGACTTCAGAAGACAGAAGTACAGTCTCTCTCTCTCTCTCTCTCTCTCTCTCTCTCTCTCTGTGTGTGTGTGTGTGTGTGTGTGTGTGTGTGTGTGTGTGTGTGTGTGTGTGAGAGAGAGAGATGATGTGTGTGAGGCATCTTCTGCACAGTATATGACCATGCACTGTATCACCACAACACTCCAGGAGGAAAGCACGCCTCTGGATGAGTCAAGTAAACAGACAATCCCCAAGGTCGCATTGTAGGTCCAATTGTCATACAAAGGCAGAAAAGAAATGCAAGACCGAAAGGCAGACAAACGACACAAGACAGCAAGGCACGAAAGACAATAAAGCAAAGGACATAGGCTGGAGGGCATGGGGGAGGCGGGTGGGCAGACAAACAGCACATAAGAGCAAGGCAAAAACAGGGCAAAAAGTACAAGTCCCAATACACGTAAAGACCGAAAAAAATAAAATAAAATAAAATAAAACTGATGATGAAAGATTGTTTCGTCGGAGTTGCACCGACTCATCAGGAGGCTGAACCCTCGACAATCTGCGGAATCTCCGTATTTGATGGTTTGGGTCATGAACCCTTTGACCCTTGCTGAAGGCAGACTGTCCCAAACGGAACACAGCAGCGAGCAGCAACCCTGTGAAGCACCAGGCAACACAATAGAGGCAACAAGGCTGCGCAACGCCATGCAGCGCGGCAGCCGTGCAGTGAAGTACAAGACAACACAAGCAAGGCAACGGCACTGCAGGGGATGACAAGGCGAGCGGACCGGCAGCTCGACAACCGTGGAGCGGAGCACAAGGCACCGGCAACAAGGCCACCCAACTACAGGGCACACAAGCGGCAACACGGAAGGCATGGCCAGCGGATGAGCAGCACGGCAGCGAAGCAGCGAAGCGCAAGGCAACACCAGCAACACGGCCACACCACGCAGTGAACACACCAATTCGCAGAGAGCCGCACGCGAAGCAAGCGGTACAGGCAGCAGGGCAGCGGCGGAGCGCAGACGAGGACGTCCACACATCCAACACGGAGCAAAGCAGCACATCACCTACTCACATCACGGGTGAACCCCGCAGACCGTTGGTTCCCACCACCCTCTGAGCCAGGGAGACACTTCGACGACCATCCGTCATCACCGACAGGCAACACAGACATCCCGAACCGAGTGCCCCCCTAAGAGTGCAGTTGGCACTCCAGACGAGGAACCACCGACTGTTTGGCACTACTTAAGGGTGCTCAGTTGGGTCAACAAAAATACTTAGAAAAAGATCAGAGGAGGATAGACAACAAGAGGACAACAGGCATACATAAAACTGATTGTGTGTGTGTGTGTGTGTGTGTGTGTGTGTGTACTCCAGCGAGGTGAGGTGTATTGATGGTTGGTTGGTTGGCTTGGGGCCATTGTGTCGTCCTCTTCTTCCTCGATTTGTATTTGGAGTGAAGTTGGATGGCGAGCAACAGTTACTGGGCCGGGCGGTTAGCAGCCATGGCCAGCAGGGCTCTCTCATGTAGACGAAGGCGGGAGGGGAGGTTACGGGAACTTCAGGAAGCAGTCTGAAGCAAGACCAGGATTCAATGGGATCACGAAGAAAGAGCGAGCGAGAAGGGAGGGAGAAGAAGATAGTTACAGTTTGCCGATGATGGTGCTAAGAAAGGGGCTGAGGGAATGAGGAAAGATTACATCATGATGCAAGAGCGCGACACAAAGAGATGCATTTGTGTAAATAAAAAAGGGCACGGAAACAGTTACGCGAAATGCCAATGAAGCTGTGCCTACTTCTAAGTCGAATTGAAATTGAAAAGTTCAAAAGAAAATTCCACGCACGAGTGCTAAGGCGCGCGAATTCCTACGTCGATTCCTATTCTATTATCCATCAACAAAAAAATCACAGGGCTTGCGGGGGCGTCTCCAAAATTTTCATGCACAAAGAAGGGACTCATTGCGAAGTATGCCAACAGGCACCTGTGATCTCCGAAATTCGAAGAACCTGGAAGGAAAAAAATTCCGAGTGTGTTCGCTCAGGCGCGCGTAAATCCTAAGTGAAAACCACCCAAGTACAAGGACAATTGCAAAAGCCATCAAAATGAAGGGACAGGAGTACCTGACGTATCCCACCTATGAGAGCCCGTCGAGGATAAGCCCTGCAAATAGCGATGGGGTAGGAAGACCAAAATTACAGCCCTACGGCGACTGAGACAGCCTGAGCCCCGTCGTGATCATTTGGTGAGGATGCTATCTGGACCAAGTAGAGGAACTGGAACTGGATTAGTCCGAGCCCGGCCGTAGAAGAAGCATCCCAAGAAAAAAGGAAGGGGCTCAGGAACCCGTTCATGCACGTAAGCTCAAGCGTCACATGCGGTAATAGGCTCACCAGTAAAGTTGTCACAGCAGGTTCAGACCAAAAGTTACCAGGTTTGACCTTTAAGACCTGTAGCTCCCTCGCCATATCCTGACTGAGCCAGGCTGGGTCAATCTGTTTGGATGCCTCATACTTCAGATAAACATCCCTTTCTGCAATGTTGTGAGGACCTGACGTCAGGGACTGAAATCATTTTTTCTCTCTCTCTTGACAATGACCGGGCGATTAGCTTCAAGTTTATTAATGAATCTCCAGCCAATCGCCCGGCGAGTGTCTCGAGAGAGAGAAAAGATATTTCAGTCCCTGAACAGTCACCTCACCATATGACCCTCTCGGAGGTTCAGATAACCCTACTTCCCAAATTCCGTCTTTGACACGGACTGGAAGAACCACTATTCCCGTTTTCGCTGGTTGTCCACAAAAAAATATCATAATTAATTACGGCCGGCGTCAATGGTCTTTTGGTGATAGCGCCTAACACCGGCTTCCTGGAAGCGGAATTCTTTGTGGGTGGTACTTCTCCTTGCCCTTAAGCCAACCTGAGGCGGAGTCTTTGTCTCGTACTAGCGAGCTCTTGTACTGCAGGCCCGCAGGTGGAACAGCCAAATGTGGAGTCTGATGCTGTACCACCTCCAGCACTGCAGTGGAAGAGTCAACAGTACTTGGTGAGGCTGATATGTCTGCATCTCTATGGTGCTGCCAATCTTCTGTGAGATCAATGACCACGGACTGAGTGAGGATCCAGGTTATAGAGTTCTCAGTTGTTTCCTAATTCACCATTATTTGGAATCTTCGATGAAATGGCATAGAAAGAAGAAAACTGAAAAGCCTCCACCCACCTTTCCCGTGATCGGCATGCAAGCCCCATGATGGTAAACGACGGCTCGTGTTCGGATTTCAGTTTCTTTTCCAACGGGATTTGGGCGTAAGGGCCACAAGGTAGGCTTATACTCACACTTCGACGTTTTCTTCAACGGGATTGGCCACCATGGCGACCCAATGCATCAAGAAAGTTCTATCATAGTGTGAGCATGCCATATAAGAGGGAGGTTGAGTCCAGTAGCAGATAACGTGATGGTTTACCACGCTGCAGTTGAAAGGAAAGAAGGAAAAAAGGCAGGCTTACCACGCTCATATCTTGAGGAAGTGGGTGGGGAAAGTTTGGGGGGTGGGGGAGGAATGGCAAGAGACGGGGATGCAACTGCCACGCTTATCTTGCATGTGGAATTCCAAACTGCCGTGATTTTCAGATCGTTCCTGGCTGTCTAGAAGTCCAGGTGCGTGATCTGGACCGGTGAGGGTGTGACGACGGATTCTGTCAGAGTCTGCCCTTTCATTTGTCCTCCGCTGTCTTTTCCACGTGACAGCTCGTTGATGGAAATAATTTTAACTCCAATAAAAAAATATTTTATTATCAAACATCATTTCATAAATGGATCCGAATAATGTACGTGGGTCTTGCTGCACTGCTCATCAAAATGATCAGCCTGCTAGAACCTGGAAAGATGCTTCCCCCTTAGGTTTTGTCCATTTCAATTTGGTGAGTGATGTGGGAAGGCCCTTCGGTTCTTGCCGCACTGGTCACCAACTGTGTAGAATGGGAGTGTATACAAACGGACCAGGGCATACTCGCACCAGGACATTTTCGACTCACCTCTGGACATGGTTGCGGCCAGATGCATCCAGGGCCATCCCTAGTTGCAGTCGAATAGATTCAGAAAAGTAGTGTGAATATGCCCTCAGTTGGTACACCCATGAACAGTTGAAACCCATTTCAGCCTGGATGCTGAAAAACGAGGGCCTGCAGGCCCTACCTCGTTTCAGCCTATTTCTGGGTCTTTTCAGACCCAGAGTTTTCAGCCTGAAACGGAGGGCCATTTTCAGGCCCTCATTGTTTCGACCTGCTCCTAAGACTCAGGCACGGAAACAGGGATGCGGAACAGGCCCAAAATAGCCTGTTCCTCACGTACGCGAGCAGGAGCTGCAGCTGCAGCCCCTGCCTCCCTTCGGCAGGCTCAAGAGGCACACCCGTAGTACATAGGAGGTTCCCATGCACTTCACGGGGGGGGTAGTGTCAGTAGGAGAGGTAGTCTTCAGGATTCGGCCGGAGCACTCAGGAGGAGCGCTGCAGCAGTCTTCAGCGCTAGGCAGTAGTGGTAGCGCTAGCTGTAGTCTTCGGCGCTGGGCGCCATAGCTGTAGCTGTAGTCTTCAGCGCTGGGCGCTGGTAGGTAGTAGATCGTAGAGTGGGAGAGAGACTGGCGGAGGCCAGTGTTACTTACCTGTGGCGCCATCGTTCCAGCTCCATCTTCGTGGTACCTGCATCAA